AGTCTCTAGTGGCCGTGCTCAAGCCTCTTCTCGCCATATTAGCTGTATTCTGCTGTTCTGCTTACCTCTCAATCTGTGACGGCTGTACACTAGAGGGTAAAACCCCAAATAATCAATTGTAGCGGCGAGTGATTACTAATGCAGCGCGTCGCTTTTTCCATTCTTAACACACCCTTATTATTGATCAACGTCCGTGGCACTTCTAGAATCTTTGCGTCACAGTTCCATTCAAACGAAGCAAACGAAGACACGAGGTTGCATCGATCTGGTGCACGGTACGTTGGCTAAGGGTTTTCCCGAATCAGGTCTGGCGATTAATACCTACTACTAGGACCTGCGTCCTTAAAAATAGGAGGACCGTCGGCTAGTGCTCGCTCTGTGCTTCACTGGCACGATGCAAGGCCACGATGTGGACATTATTGTTGTCCTCACCACACGTTCAAATATGGATCCGTCAGCGGGAGCATCATGGTCGAAGGGCGGCGCCTTAAGGTCGCCGTTACGTTACGTTACGTGTCGTCACGGGTTGTTCGTACTAAACAACCTGCAATCAGTGCGCACGCTTCAAAACTGGGGCCACTCATTCAATGGGCTCAGGAAAGCGGCATCATCGTTAGTGACTCGACAGTTCGCAATTTAATTGCATTTGCATGGAGTACATATAATTTATTTAACGATGAATGTTCCCTTCTTACTGTTTTTCTCGTACGTGTTCCTTTGTTTTCTTTCTTTTCACGTTGCAGGTCATCCCACCTCATTCTTAGGTTCTATTCGTAACCTTGAATTCTTATGAATCATTCAGAATTTTGTTTATATGTTTCACATTTTTACTCTACTATAGAGAATCTTCTCTATGTTCTTGAATTTCACTTAGTGCAGCCACATATGTGACTTTAGTTTATTGAAATCTTGATGACTCATTAACATGTAAAAACTTTAGGGGCTGATCGAGCATTACTTCAATACAACATAAAAACTGTTGAGCTCGGCCCGTCCACTTTAGCCGTATAAGAGGGTCGCAGCTCTTCGCTGTTCAGTCTTTCCTATTTGTTCATATCGTCTATCGTAGTCTCTGTTCTTCAATAAAGCCTCAAAACCCGCGTAGCAATACACAGTGAAGGAAGAACATATTATTATAAATCATCGGAAGCCGAGCAGGATCGAATCCGTGCCAATCTGAGGGATGACTACAACCTTTCACCTAAAACCTAAAAGCTCAAGACGAACTAATCGCCAATGCTGCTGACGCAAGGGATGTCGCACAAGCACAAAGACCTCTACAGGAGCATAATACAGAGGACGGAGACACTCTGCAATACCATGGCAGATCACCAAAATCATAAAACTCAATCTCAAGCCGGCAATTCTGATCGTAGACGAGGACACGGTGCAGAAATGCCCAATACCTAACGGAGATAAAAACCAAGGACACTGATCAAATACATAGCTCGATTGAAGACGTTAACAATAAGAATGCCACCAGCATCAATGTCGACGAAATAGAGGTGGAAGTGCGGGACGTACCGCCCGATGTCCAGAGAGTCAGCTACAAATCGATGGACAGGGAGCTCTGAGAGTGCGAACAGAAACTCTGTCTTTCAAAAAGAGGTGACTAGGACGCTCGACGACCTAGGAGCAAGACAGTTGGAGATTTTGGCCTTTGTTGGTGAACCCGTCTTAACGTGTTGAGATCCGTTTAACCTGGTAGTAACATGTTAGCCACGCCCACTGACGTGGATGGTATTGCAAGAATATCAGTATAGTTCAGTCTGGTTTCGATCGCCACTGCGAGCAGTGGCTTTCCCCCGGTCCCTCGTCGTTCTTATTTTTTTGTTTCTGTGTGACTTGTTTCACTAATAAAACTTAGTGAAGACTAGTGTCTTGAAAACATTTTCACAAATAAAACTTAGTGAAGACTAGTGTCTTGAAAACATAAGGACGGCTTTGAGGGGCAGAGCCGGACCAAGCTTTTGCGGAAAGGTGATAACTGATAGATCCCCTAGAACCGAAAAGCCACTCCTTACTAAAAGAAGGATAAAACATGAATCAGCCGATCGAAGAATTAACCCAAACAAGAAGTGAATCGACGACGGACGGCGCTGTACTACGAAAAGACATCCGCGACAACCACAAGGAGCTCAACAGAGTCAAACACGAAATATTTCACTGATTCCTCGCACAGAAGAAGTTTAGAGGGTCCGATATGTTTTTCCCCGTAGACTGTCCAGAATCTACGGAATGAAGAGAGAAAAGTACAAACTGATCGATGAAGAAATGCGCTTGAAAGAGGACACTGTTGGACAAAGCACAGCAAGACTGCATCGCCACTCGCTCGTAGTCAACGTCGTCAACAACGTCCTCTGAGCAGAAGTCGTCAAACTTCACCGAACCGTTCACGTCGTCGTAGCAGTCCGTGGCGTAGCCGAAGTCCCACGTTCCGTCAACAGCGTGCCTTACCTCTAAGTATTCGTCGCCGGAGAGTATGGAGAACCTTCTTTATAATCTTGAATTTCATCTAGTACAATAATATGTATGACTTTAGCTCATAGAAATCTTGATGACGCATTTGTAACTGTGTAGAAAGCTTATCTGGTGGCTGATCGAGGATTGTTGTAATACAACATAGAATTCCACTGGGCTCGGTCCGCCCACTACAGCCATATAGAAGAGCCGTACTTCTTTATTTTTTTTACTATTCGTAAACATCGTCTGTCGTAATTACTTCAATAAAGCTTCAAGAAGACAGCACGTGGCAAAACACAAGAAGAACGAAGAGAATATTACATCTAGGGCCTTTTTCAAAAACATTTGAGATGGGAGTTTGTAGGTGGAAGTGTCACTACGCTGAGCAGTGTAGGTCAGTTCAGTCCCATTTTTATGTATTGAATGAATTAGTTTCGCTCACAGCGATTTATTATACCAGTTTTGCTTCGCCCGCTATCGCGCGCATCACACGGCAGGCTTTAGCGAAACTGGAGGACCCATGGAATATCAGCATGAGATACTCCATTAACCATCTCACTATTGAATGTGTTAGACCCTCCACAGTTTCGCTGAAGCTCATCGAGAATACGCGTGATAACGTCTGGAGCTGAACTGGTATATTGATCACAACTGTAAACATCCAGCATTTTTCTTGAATTAAGATAATTTAGCGGTGAATAGGATTGTGTCAGTCTCAAAATGAAAACGAAATATGCCTATTTACATAAGTGAGGAGCTAAGGCTTATCATTTATTTACATTCACCATTATTTAGAACCCCGAAAGGATTAGCGGTTTAATGAGTTTGGGTTTTCTTAATAGTGCATAGAAATGAAACTTATCATTTGCTGAAGACTTGTTTGAGTTTATGCAGTCGACTTCTATTAAGTAAGCTGGTTATATCGAAACAATGTGCACGTACTACAATTTGTAAATAGGAACGCTCTAGTGTCAACGCTGCGTAACGGAATTGACGACTTCAGCGTTCTGGCGCACCTTATCGGCCCTTATCAATCGTTATCAGTTTCTGGCACCCACCAACAATGTCCCCGTCCCACCCCACATAACACTTGTAAGTATGGTTGCTCTGGTGTCAACGCGAGCCAGGTAACGGAATCGACGACTTTTGCGTTCTGGCGCGCCTTATCAGCCCTTATCAATGTTATCAGTTTCTGGCACCCACCAACAATGTCCCCGTCCCACCCCACATAACACTTGTAAGTATGGTTGCTCTGGTGTCAACGCGAGCCAGGTAACGGAATCGACGACTTCAGCGTTCTGGCGCGCCTTATCAGCCCTTATCAATCGTTATCAGTTTCTGGCACCCACCAACAATGTCCCCGTCCCACCCCACATAACACTTGTAAGTATGGTTGCTCTGGTGTCAACGCGAGCCAGGTAACGGAATCGACGACTTCAGCGTTCTGCGCGCCTTATCAGCCCTTATCAGTCGTTATCAGTTCCTATCACGTACCACTTGTGTCCCCATCCCACCCCCTATAACATATGTAAGAACCACTGCGCTATCGTTACTGTGACTCGAGCTATGAATTTCCGGTCAAACATACACACACACCAACAGACACACGCTAGCCGCTTATATATAGTAGGATAGTTCATCGAAAGATTTATCTATGAGATGTCATCCATATGTTACTGTGATTGTGTATTCGGAGTCAAACAGCAGTAACCATCTTTATTCCTCGCTCACTTAAATTTCGCTTTCTTAGCTGCTAGTTTTCATACATTTTCAATTCCTTATCACTACATACTTCTTGCTCATTCATCCGTTTAACCATCATCTTGTCTCTAAGCGCTGGAGCGCCCTGAATCAACACGATGCTGTTCAGAAAAAGAGCTCGCTGTTTGCTCATCAAACGTTTACATCGGCGATTCTAGACGACATAGAAACTTCAATCAGCGCTTAAGTCGGCCTCGTTCAGACCTACCCTTTCTCTCTCCCTCTTCCGAATGAAGTTTGGGTTAATCCTGGAATATTAACTAGGCAAGTCACATCTTGGAGCGTGAGCTAATCAGTTCCTGGTTTCCACTAATTATGCTTCCTTGATCCTCTCATATTTCTTTAGTCGTATCCCTTGTTAGAAGTAGCCATGCAAGTCCAGAATAGTTGTTTTTACTCTTCGTTATCCTCATATTTAGCACTGGTTGCCTGGCTTTTTCCTTCGGTCGGATAGACAACAATTTGAGCGCTACGATTTTTCAGTAGTGCTAAGCGTACCGTTGGAAGACCACACGTGTTTCAACCTACGGTGGATACTCTGAAGCAGATCGTAGTTAGAATGCGCCGCATACCATGGAACATTTCTCGTACAATCGGGTTTGTAATTCCCCGTGTAGATAGTTCACGCCAGTGGAATTGGCCTAACACTGTCAGAGATGCTGGATGCGGTTTCTTCAGTAACAAATCAGAATTGGAGGTCTCAGCGAACAATTACAACGTCCTATCAACCACACAAAAATAGAGATTTATTTGGCAAACTTCGTATTGCGATCATGTCATTCGCTTTCTGATGATATCACCGATGAGTTGAGATTTGAGTGCTCCGAGAGTGTCTTCACCATTCGTGGCGTCAACGTTGGAATGTATTCACGGGGAATGAGCCATGTCGATAGATTGAACAAATCCAAGAACACTTTGTATTTGTCACTGAAACATCGTCGTGAATGTCTATGTATTCATGAAGATTGTGCAAACACCGTACCTTACAGTACTCCGTAAATACATGTAGCCAGAACTGCCACCAGTTCCTTGTTTGCTTCCCAACATTCGTTGCACCAGTATTACATGGTTGTCTGAAAAGGCATAGTAAGTTGTCGAAGAAAGAAAGGCTTATCCTAAATGCGAAAGGTTGTATAAAGGGAATGTTAACTCAAAGTATGCATGGAATAGAATATGTAGTTTGGGAAGAATCAACTTCTCCTCAAGTTACTCGTTTCCATGCAACTCAAGGAAATTCTTAACCACATGACTTAGAAGTAGAAAGGACCGAAAAAAAATCCACGGCAGTGTATATGGTAATCTGTCTGTGTATATAGCGTTAAAATGCGCAGTGGGAAGGTAAACGAATAGACCAAGCACACTATAGAGAAGACTCCCTATGATAGTGGATCATTGTTGTGTAATTGTATCATATCATTGTGGCTGACTCCTTATTCAATTGTGTTACTTTTGTAGAATTTTTCTATGATGAGTCACTTGCAACTTGAGGAAATCATTATCTGTTGGCTGATCATTTATGAGGAATGCAATCATGGAGCTCGCTCCTGCCCCTTATCCACTAAATATAAGGACGGCGAATTTCCATGGATTCAGTCGGTTTATTTATTTTCTATCCTACTTACTATAAAGCGCTTCGTCTGTCGTCTGTCGTCTGTCTGTCGTTCTGTATGTCTGTCACGAAATTCCCTAGCTCCTCGGGATCCGCCTGGAGGGACCGGGTCAAGTGTGGGATGGGTGGGCAAGGTCTCACGAAGTACAAAACACACATCAGCTAAGCGGAGCCCCGCCCACAGTGGGCGTCGAAATGAACTGTACTGACGACCAAGATTTCAATTTCAGTGACAAAACACCTCGAAACTGGGCCAAAAAGTGGGTAAAGGTGTGCATTGGTAAGTCACATCGAATTAGGGAGACCCACCCCCGGTGGGCGGGGCGTTCTCCAAAAAAGCAGTGCTTTATGAAAAATTTCATAACTCGGTTGGGAGAAAGCCTACAGAGCAGAAAACAAATTGGTGTAGGGAGCAATGTCTAAGGTGTTTCCAGCACGACGTGGGCGGAGGCCCGCCCACAATGGGCGGAGCGCGCTCTGAAGTGTACAGCATTTTCTACAAGTCCTCATAATTCGGGTCGGAGAAGTCTTAAGAGCCGGAAAAAGGTGGATAGAGGTGGGTGGAGGAGTGGAGGCCAACTGTCATCGGTGGGCGGGGCATGACCAAAGTGGGCGGAGTTTGCGACGAAAATTCATAACTCGGCTCCAAGAAGTCCCGGAGGCCGGGAAAAAGGTGGATGGAGGAGTGGAGGCCAACTGTCATCGGTGGGCGGGGCTTGACCAAAGTGGGCGGAGTTTGCGACGAAAATTCATAACTCGGCTCCAAGAAGTCCCGGAGGCCGGGAAAAAGGTGGATAGAGGTGGGTGGAGGAGTGGAGGACATCGGTGGGCGGGGCATGACCAAAGTGGGCGGAGTTTGCG